TCTCAGGTGATCCGCCCACCTGAGCCTCCCAAAGTACTGGGATTACAGGTGTGAGTCACCTCACCTGGCCTGAGGCCAAGACTTTCAAACAAATTCTCTGGGGTTAAAGGTCTTGGAATCTGGAGTTTTAGGGGGAAACAATGGAGAGGCCAGCTGTCTCAGGGGTGAAGGGTGAGGTCAAAGGTCACAGACTGTATTTCTTCACAGAGAAGATATTTTCTTGGGGTGGAGAGTGGGGATGAAGACAGTCAACACTGGACAGTATGGACCCACCGAGGTCAAAGGTCAGACTATCTGCACACTAAATAGTAATAGTAACTGGTATGATCTATTGAGTGCCAACAGGTGCCAGGCCCCTACTGAGTGCTTCTCATGAATGCTTTCACTTAATTCTTAGAATAACCAATCATGTGGTAACTTGTTATTATCTTTCTTTTGCAGGTGAGGAAATTAAGGTCTTAAGAACTCGCTTGCCCAGCCAGGGTAATGCAGCTGATAAATGGCAGATTTAGGATTGAATCTATGTCTGTGTAAATCAGGACATTAGACGTTTTGACTCTTTGAGGTCAAAGTTCAGAGAGCTGGATGCTTGGTCATAAGCTGGAGAGGGAGGAGGGTCATCTGTGCCAGCTCGAAACATCTTAGGTTGGGGGCCTCATGTGGTTTGGCTGTGTCCCTACCCAAATCTCATCTTGAATTGTAGCTCCCATGATTCCCATGCATTGTGGGAGGGACCCGGTAGGAGACAACTGAATCATGGGGGGGTTCTCCCATACTGTTCTCATGAAAGTGAATAGGTCTCATGAGATCTGATGGTTTTATAAGGGGAAACCCCTTTCGCTTGGTTTTCATTCTCTCTTGCCTGCTGCCATGTAAGACGTACCTTTCACCTTCCGCCATGATCGTGAGGCCTCCCCAGCCACATGGAACCGTGAGTCCATTAAACCTTTTTTTCTTTATAAATTACCCAGTCTTGGGTAGGTCTTAGGCAGCATGAAGACGCATTAATACAGGGCCTGTGGTGTTGTTTGATATATATGGTTTCGGGCATGGTTCCCGGGTCAAACTCTCATGACCCTTGTCACAGTCTTTGGTTACACCGTCGGGTGTATTAGGCCTCAGGAAACAGACTCTCTCCAGCCTTCTGCCCTCCTTTCACCTGCTCCAAGGCAGGCCTCTAATCTTCCCCCGTTTTTCTGACTGTGAGTCATAGGACTGTCCCCAGAGAGGGTTCTGTTTGATATACTGGGGGAAAGAATGCTGACATCATCATGCTTCCATAACAGCCCAAGAGCACTGGGTTTGAGGGGCTTCCAGATAGCTGACCCATGGAGGTTTCTGGAGGGTGGTGCCCAGGGATGGCATGGAAGCTCCAAGACCCTTCTTTCCCCCATAACTCACTCAATGTATCCCTTCATCTGTATCCCATGCAATATCCTTGACAATGAACCAGTAAACCTAAGTAAGTGCCATCCTGTCTATTGTGAGCTGCTCCAGCAAATTAATTAAACCCAAAGAGCCAGGTGCGATGGCTCATGCCTATAATTCCAGCACTTTGGCAGATCACTTGAGGTCAAGAGTTCAAGACCAGCCGGGCCAACATGGTGAAACCCTGTCTCTAATAAAAATACAAAAAATTAACCGAGTGAGGCAAGAGAATTGCTTGAACCTAGGAAGCAGAGGTTGCAGTGAGCTAAGATCGTGCCACTGCACTCCAGCCTGGGCGACAGAGTGGGACTCTATCTCAAAACAATAAAAAATTTAAGAAAAAAGAAAGAAAGAAAATCAAACCCAAAGAGGAGGTCATGAGAACCCCAACTTGAAGCTGGTTGGTCAGAAATTCTGGAGGCTGGGTATGGTGGCTCACACCTGTAATCCCAGCACTTTGGGAGGCTGAGGCAGCCGGATCATTTGCGGCCAGGAGTTCAAGACCAGCCTGGCCAACATGGTGAACCCCTGTCTCTACTAAAAATACAAAAAATGAATTAGCCAGGTGTGGTGGTATACACCTGTCATCTCAGCTACTCAGGAGGCTGAGGCACTACTGCACTCTAGCCTGGGTGACAGAGTGAGATTCTGTCTCAAAAAAGAAAAGAAACAAAGAAACAAAGAAAAAACAGCCAAGGCCAGGCTTGGTGGCTCACGCCTGTAATTCTAGCACTTTAGGAGGCTGAAGTGAGTAGATCATCTGAGGTTAGGAGTTCAAGGCCAGTCTATTTAACTTGGTGAAACCCCGTCTCTACTAAAAACACAAAAATGAGCCGGGCATTGTGGTGCACGCCTGTAATCCCAGCTACTCGGCAGGTTGAGGCTGGAGAATTGTTTGAACCTGGGAGGTGGAGGTTGCAGTGAGCCGAGATTACATCACTGCACTCCAGCCTGGGCGGCAGAGTGAGACTCCATCTCAAAAATGAAAATAAAAAAGAAATTCTGGAGGCCCAGACTTGTGACTGGTGTCTGAAGAACAAGGAGCAGTCTTGGGGACTGAGCCCCAACCTGTGGGGTCTGACACTATCTGCAGGTAGATGGTTCTGGAAGTGAATTAGAGGACACCCAGCTGAGTCTGCTGCTTGGTGTGTGGGGAACATTGCCCACATTTGGTCACACAAGTCTCCTTCTGTGTTGATAACTGTTGCATTATTAGGACAACAGAGGAGAAACATAGCTTGAGAGTTTTTGCCTAAATGGAGGCAGATTCTGGAATTAATTCTAACAATTGAAGAATCTGGATCTGGGTCTTAAAGGAACCTAAACCTCATCTCATCCCAACCTCCCCACTACACAGATGGAGAAACTGAGTCCCAGAGAACAGCCAGGTTTAAGTCACAGGCCAAGACCACCTGGGGGACTGAGCCCTGGATGCTGAGGGCTCACGTGGGTGGGACGGCTTACCGAAAGAGGACTTCGGGGGCGCCGTGTGGCTGGTGGGGTGCTGGGGGTGGCAGCTACTGAAGCCCCATCCAGGATTGGTCCTAGGAGGCGACGGAGGTCAGGGCTGCAGAAACGGCGGGGGTCAGCGGCCAGGGCAGCCTCGCTCAGGGAAGGGGGGTGCAGGAAGGCGAGGATCCGGGGGCCAGGGGCGTCTGCAGGACATGTGGAGACAGGGAGGACACGGGCTGGTGACCTTAGGCTGAGGGACACAGCCCTCCACACCAACCCCAGGAACACAGTTGACATCTTCAGCAAGTCAGGACGGCCACTGTTCTTAGTGCCTCGCTCTCGCCCAGGCTGGAGCGCAGTGGTGAAATTTCAGCTCACTGCAGCTTCCCTCTCCCAGGTTCAAGCAATTCTTCTGCCTGAGCCTCCCAAGTGGTTGGAATTACAGGTGGGTGCCACCACGCCCAGCTAATTTTTGTATGTTTTATAGAGACAGAGTTTCATCATGTTGGCCAGGCTGATCTCAAACTCCTGACCTCAAGTGATGCACCCACCTCAGCCTCCCAAAGTGCTGGATTTACAGGCATGAGCCACCACACCTGGCCCAGGTGTAAACTTTAGTGGCCAGATTCTGGTAAGGCTCTGGAAGGTCCTGGGGAGGGGAGTGGTGGCCCAGAACGGCATTTGGCCATGCAGCTCTGGGGAGCTTGCACCTTAGGAGAGAAGACTGGCCCCAAGCCCTCAAGGAGGCTGTAAGGTTCCCAGAGGTTAAGACAAAGCCCAGAGCCAGCTCTGAGCCAGAAAAGGAAAGGATATCATATCAGCAATCCCACCCCACACCCAGAAGCATGGGCGGCCAGCGAGAGCTTGAAGGACAAACCAAGAGGGAGGCTCATCCAGGATGGGAGGAGAAAGAAGGAAGAGGGAGAAAGGAGCCAGACTTAGGTGGATCGAGATTACTGGTAGCCAAAGAGCAGCCAAGCCAAACAGGGAAGGAGCAGAAGCCTGGGGGCAATGTGGGGCCACAGCAGAATTTAGAGCAGAGGCCAGCACGAGACTGAAGCAACCATGCCATAGCCACAGGAGAGGAGGGAGGATGGGAGGGAGAAGAGCATTCTGGGTGGAGGAAACTGTACGTGCAAAGGCCCTGAGGCACGAGGCTGGAGCGTTCCAAGGGCTCTTAGGAGGCCATGTGGTTTGGAGGCTGTGTACGCAGGGAAGGGAGGCAGATCCCACAGGGCCTGGCGGGCCATGTTAAGGTACTTGGGCTTTCTCCCAAGGGCCCTGGGGACACAATCCCTCCCGGCCCCAGCCCTGCCCCTTACCAAGGCTGTCTCCAGGGTGAGAAGTGTCCTTCTGAGAGGGGCCGCCCCGCTGAATGGGTCTGCGAGAGTGTTGCTCCGTTTGCTCCAGGGACAGCACCACTCCAGTCTCTTCTACCTGGCTGGGGTACAAGGCAGAAAGGGAGATGGGAGTCAGGGAGGGTCCTTGGCTGCAGCCCAGGCGGCCCGTTCAGGTGACGTCCTATTACAAGAGGCAACGGCGCCCAGGGGCTTGGAGGGCATTTTGCAAAAAATAGTTGCCCACATTTATTTGTCTCCTATAAGGGTTTGATTTTTGTTGACTGCTTTTTATTCTGACAGCATTTTTTTTTTTTTAGACAGGGTCTCCCTCTGCTGCCCAGGCTGGAGTGCAGTGGTGCAATCTTGGCTCACTGCAACCTCCACCTCCCAGGTTCAAGCGATTCTCCTGCCTCAGCCTTCCAAGTAGCTGGAATTACAGGTGCACACCCTCACGCCCGGCTAACTTTGTATTTTTAGGAGAGATGGGGTTTCACCATGTTGGCTAGGTTGGTCTGGATCTCCTGATCTCAGGTGATCCACCCTCCTCGGCCTCTCAAAGTGCTAGGATTACAAACGTGAGCCACTGCGCCTGGCCTATTCTGATAGCATTTCAAAAAGAAAGTTAAGTTTGTCCCTTTCCAGGCTCCTTCTGTAAAAGGAAAGGCAGAAAAAAGAGCTGGCATTTAGCATAGCCTGGGCAGAGAGGAGGAAGGCTGAGGGATGGGGGTGGGGCAGGGCCGAAAGACAGAAGAGGAGGAGACCTAGGAACAGGGAGGGGAGGCCCCGGGGCAGAGAGAGGGGTGAGTGAAAGGCTTCAGAATACCTAAATATTCTCTTTATAGATTCTTAGAAAGGTATTGATGAAAAAATCTATTTTTAACATAGTCTTCATTATATTACCAAATAGGAAGAATTCATGGGGCTGTAATTTTTATGAATAAGATTTTATTTATGCTGTTTCTATTCATAGCTATTTTTCATATTCAAGGGGACAGGTTTATAAATACATCCTTATGTCCCAGCACCTCCCTTCACACAGTCTTTGGCTGCAGAGACAATCCAAATGCTCGCTGGGCAAATTGGCTTTTGGAGAGCTGGGTGGGGCTGAGGATCAAGCCCTCATTTGCATCTCATCTGCATAACCCCCTACAGGACAGGATGCAGGTGGGCCTGGTCTTCCCACCAGCTTCTTGAGAAGCTGTGACCTCTTCCCACCCTCATGAAACCCTCCCTGGGCAGGAAACATCCCAATTTAGGCTGGATCAAAGCCACTCTTACTGCCCATAAGCACATACAACCGCACTCGTACACACACTCAGCACACACCCAGTATACACAGGCACAAACAGGAGCGCTCACATACACCCAAGTGGGCACAGGGACAGAGATGCTCACACGTTCCATACACTTGGGTTCAAATATATGCACATGTGCCACCTTCAGTTCACTTATTCGTCATTCCACAGACACCTCCTCGTCAAGCACTACTGTGTAGTGGTTCATAGCAAGGACTCTGCAGCCAGCGGCCTGGGTTCAAATCCAAGCTCTGCTACTTACACAGCAGTGTGATCTTGAACATGAATAATAAAATGTATTATTCAAATTAGGCCAGGCATGGTGGCTCATGCCTATAATCCCAGCACTTTGGGAGGCCAAGGCTGGTGGATCACCTGAGGTCAGGAGTTCAGGATCAGCTTGGTCCACATGGCGAAACCCCATGTCTACTCAAAATACAAAAATTGGCTGGGCACAGTGGCACGCATCTGTAGTCCTAGCTACTCAGAGCCTGAGGCAGGAGAATCATTTGAACCCTGGAGGCAAAGGTTGCAGTGAACCGAGATCACACCACCACACTCCAGCCTGGGTAATAGAGTGAGACTCCGTCTCAAAAAGAAATAAATTTAATTTAATTTAAAAAATAAATACAATTAATTTCACCTGCTTCTGTTTACTTTTTTTTTTTTTTTTTTTTTTTTTGAGACAGTGTCTTGTTCTGTCGCTCAGGCTGGAATGCAGTGGTGCAATCTCAGCTCACTACAGCCTCAATTACCCAGGTGATCCTCCTGCCTCAGCCTCCTGAGTAGCTGGGACTACAGGCACATGCCACCATGCTAGGCTAATTGTTAAATTATGTGTAGAGATGGGGTCTCCCTATGTAGCCAAGGCTATTCTCAAACTCCTGGCCATGGCCTCCCAAAGTGTTGGGATTACAGGTGTGAGCTACCAACCCCAGCATTCTGTTTACCTTTTTAATGTAACTACTAGAAAATTCAAAATGACGTATGTGGCTGGCATCATGCTTTTACTGGACAATGTTGGGTTAGATAGTGGTAAGTACTAGGGAAGGCCTGGCACGGTGGCTCACACCTGTAATCCCCAGCACTTTGAGAGCCCGTGGCGGGCAGATCATCTGAGGTCAGGAGTTCGAGACCAGCCTGGCCAACATGGTGAAACCCTGTCTCTACTAAAAATACAAAAATTTAGCTGGGTGTGGGTGGCAGATGCCTGTAATCCCAGCTACTTGGGAGGTTCAGTCAGGAGAATCACTTGAACCTGGGAGGCAAAGGCTGGTTGCAGTGAGCCAAGGTCATGCCACTGCACTCCAGCCTAGGCAACAGAGCAAGACTCTGTCTCAAAAAAAAAAAAAAAAAAAAAAACATAATGGTAAGTATTAGGGAGAAAATAAAGCAATTTTGAAAAGGGCAATCAAAGAAGGCCTGGCTGAACACACGAGTTAATAGGATAATTACAAATGTTTTTAAGTACTCTGGTGTAAAAGCACAGGATACCAGGAGAGAAAATGGGGGTGGGGGCACCTGACCTCACATAGGGGCTCAGGAAAAACGGTCTCCAGAAGTGATGTCTGAGCTGAGACTGGAAGGATATGTGGGCATGACCCAGGAGAAAGGGGAGGAGGGAAGAAAGGAGAGCATGCTGGGGAGGAGGAACAGCCTGTGCAAAGGCCCTGAGGTTGCAGAGTGAGGGAGAAGGGGAGGGAGGCAGAGGCTTCACAGGGCCTGGTGAGCCTTGCCGATGCCCTTGGGCTTTCTCCTGAGGATACTGGGGAGTCTCACAAAGGCTCTGAGAAGGGCAGAGACATAAGGCATAAGTTGATTTGTAGGCCTGCCATTGTCATTCACATCTGCAATCCCAGCATTTTGGGAGGCTGAGGTGGGAGGGTCACTGGAGCCCAGGAGTTTGAGACCAGCCTGGGAAACATAACAAAACCCCATTCCTATCTTTTTTTAATTATCAGCTGGGTTTCAGGGCTCACACCTGTAATCCCAGCACTTTGGGAAACCAAGGCGGGTGGGTCACCTGAACTCAGTAGTTCAAGACCAGCCTGGGCAACATCATGAAACTCCATTTCTACAAAAAATACAAAAAAAGTAGCCGGGCATGGTAGTGCATGCCTGTAGTCCCAGCTACTTGGGATGCTCAGGTGGGAGGATTGCTTGTGCCCAGAAGGTCAAGGCTGCAGTGAGCCCTGTTCGTGCCACTGTACTCCAGCCTGCATGACAAAGCAAGACTTTATCTCAAATTTTCTTTTTGAGACAGAGTCTTACTCTGTCACCCAGGCTGGAATGCAGTGGTGCAATCTAGGCTCACTGCAACCACCGCCTCCCAAGTTCAAGTGATTCTCCTGCCTCAGCCTCCTGAGCAGCTGGGGCTACAGATGCTTGCCACCATGCCCAGCTAATTTTTTGTATTTTTAGTAGAGACAGGGTTTCACCCTGTTAGCCAGGATGGTCTCAATCTCCTGACCTTGTGATCTGCCTGACTTGGCCACCCAAGTGTTGGGATTACAGGCATGAGCCATCATGCCTGGCTTCA